AGTAAGTTTGCACATGCACAAGGAGGAGCTTGCCAGAGCAGGGGAATGCACACGTACCTGCCCTCCTGTTGGTTGTGCAACACAACAGGGTAATGGCCATAGTGCTATTTACTGTCTCAATACATCCTGGGAAGACACTACGTTCAAAATATTATGGCAGATGCAACCCAGGCTGCCTGCACCACAGCTGCTAGTACCATTTGCTGGGGCATCAACAACAGCAACCACTATCTCCCAAGTTAATTAATAGGGAATTATATTACTAGTGTTTTAACTATTGCCTGATACATTCAAATTTGTTTTAATTTGTTTAATACTATTTAAAATGCATATTTCATTATTTCAGCTGGTGACACAGTTTTATTGTATTAATTGCATATTATGGTTTTGTATTGCATGACTTGTAATTTTTGCCTTGACGGGTTGTGAACTGCTCAGAGAGTGTTCACACTAATGGGGAGGTATAGACATTGCAACAATGAAGAAATAATAAAGAAATAAAGGTAGCTGTGTACATTCACACATTTCTGATTCAAATCTTACCCCAATCATGATTGCTCTAGACAATCAAATTCCAGTTTCATTAGTCATAAGGGCCTCATCCTACACAATAACAACCACTTTATGAGACTGTGGTAAAGATAGATGACACCATGCATAGGAGAGCTATGAAGACTGTCCAAGGTCTTTACAAGGCAAATCTTTACAGTTTTGGGCAGCAGAAATCAGCATTGTGATTATGCACGAGAAAGATCTGTGGTTAAGGGAAGCTTCAGACATTGCAGTTGGTTTTCTTATCTCAGGTACAGAAATGGAACTCAGGGGGGCACTGAATTGCTTATGTGTTTTTGTGAGTCTATGAGAGATTTTATCTTAAACGGGCAACCGACATTGGAAAGACAAACAGAAATGCCCAGAGGTGATTTTCAGCACTAATATCAAAACTTCGGAAAGTTGCGTTTGGAACATGGCTCCTAGAATACCACAGTCCATCGTCCATTCTCTAACAACAGTTTGGAGCACAGGGGCTCATGACTAGAGATAGTGCTTCTGAGTGGATGCCTGCTGGAGGAGGCAGGGCTGCAAAGTGGTTTTGGTCCAAAAACGAACTGGCACGAACCACTGATTCTACTCATCTCTACTCATGACTAAGCGTGGGGAGAGCACCTTGAAATTCTGGAATGAGACCCCACCACCCTGTTTAGAGCACAACACTCCCCTGCTGTTTCTTGATCCTGGTTTGTTATAAAAAGCATAGAGCTGTAACTAGGGCTGGGCAACTGGGTCAGTGTCTCACTACGCCAAGATATAGAGGATACAGAAATCTAGGCTCTTGAGAGTCCCCTGGACTGCAAGGAGAACAAACCTATCAATTCTAAAGGAAATCAACCCTGAGTGCTCACTGGAAGGACAGATCCTGAAGCTGAGGCTCCAATACTTTGGCCATCTCATGAGAAGAGAAGACTCCCTGGAAAAGACCTTGATGTTAGGAAAGTGTGACGGCAAGAGGAGAAGAGGACAACCGAGGATGAGATGGCTGGACAGTGTCTGCGAAGCAACCAACATGAAATTGACAGAACTACGGGAAGCAGTGGAAGATAGGAGGGCCTGCCGCGCTCTGGTCCATGGGGTCACGAAGAGTCGGACACGAATAAACAACTAAACGAACGAACGAAATCTAGATGTTCATCTATGGATGAGTGTTAGGAAAATAAACAGCAACACCCCAGACCCTGTTTGCTTTCCCTTTTGTTGAAAGCAGAAACTTTTCCTTTGTGGGGAGCATCGCGCTCTGACCCGTCTTTCTCTTGATGGTGGCAGTGCTTCATACTTCAGAATCGGGGACAAAGACAAGGCCATTAGTTCCAGTGTCAACTTTTCTAGTTAGAGCTCTGGAGAGACAAGCCAAGGGTCTGCAGGTAACACCATCAATCTTCTGCCACGGTTAGTTCCCAGTTGCTTTAGGCACTCCCATTTGGAGGAGCAGCCATGAAGCAGTGACTGGGCAGTGTGCATCCAAACTCTCGCTAATTAAAAAATAAATCTAGAATTCAGCCATTAATTCTACAGATCCTTTAACTGTCCTGTTACTTTGCTTACAGCTTCAGTGACTGGGCAGTGTGCATCCAAACTCTCGCTAATTAAAAAATAAACCTAGAATTCAGCCATTAATTCTACAGAGCCTTTAACTGTCCTGTTACTTAAAAGCATTTGCTTAGAATTAATATGTTTACATCGGGTACAGCTTTGCACAATGGCATTTCACCTGTCCAGCATAAAAGTTGCAGGTTTTTTTCCCTATTTCTGTGTTTATTTATTTGAACAAATTCTTAAATTATTAATTTATTTGTTGAACTTATATGCCGCCCACACTACCAAAAGGTCTCTGGGCGGCTTACAACAATTAAAATACATTAAAAAAAGATAAAACAATTAAAATACAATTAAAATATATACTCTAAACATTGCCATCAGAATAATGTAAATCTTATCCCAGTGCAACGCCTGCTAGTATCTGCATGGAATTATGTAACCATCCAATATTCTTTGGCGTGACAATGTATTTCTTTTTTATCTGTATCTTTAGTGCCATCTTCTGGTACTTGAGATACAGGGAGGGCAGTGCAACTCCTGCTAGTATTTGCATGGAATTATGTAACCATCCAATATTCTTTGACATGACAATGTATTTTTTTATCTGTATCTTTAGTGCCATCTTCTGGTACTTGAGATGAAACACAGGGAGGGAAAACAAGTTATAGTGGAGATGGTGCTAGAGTATTGCTAGTACAGTATTGTGAATAATTAGTGCAAAATGTGCTGCTTATATGCAGCCCCAAGGGTTGTTTACAATCAAATTCTGGATACTCAATTTACTACCCTTGGAAGGATAGAAAGCTAAGTCAACCTTAAACCAGCTACCTGTGAACACTGGGATTGAACTCATGTCATGAACAAAGTCTTGGCCACCGTACTGCAGTTTAACCTCAGTGCACTATGAGGTTAATTTAACTACTGATACTTTTAACATAAAATCTGTTCTGAAAGTAACTAATAAAATCTGTTCTGAAAGTAATCTGTAACTAATTATTTCTTATGCAGTTTGCATAATAAAGAAAATAAATTCCATTTAAGATTTCACACTAAAATTAATATATAATCTTACATCACACACACACATGTATATGTAATTCTGCATTAAAGTTAAACACATACCTGTGTAACCTTCCACAAAACACAATATCTTCATGGAAACAGGTATCCAATAATACACTCAACCTGGTGTCCTCTAGAATCGATACTTTAAATGGTCATTCCCATTAGTTCCAATAGGGCTACTCCCAAAATCAATAGTACCCTTTACAGATGAACCACAGTTTGGCCCACCAGCCACAAAGCTGTTGTACCGGTGCCACAGCTTCCCAGCCCTACCTTCTCTGATGGGCGCCCACTCAGAGGCATGAATCTTCTCCAACCGCTCTACCAATAACTCAAGAGACATATATTCTACCAAAGTAGTAGTCCCAAATAATGTGCAAGGCAGAAATGAATTTTCATAAACCCCTGGAAAACTGTAGAATTTGGCAATAACATGTTATAAATAAGGATCTTGGCTTGTTGGGATAATGAGGACATGACAGTATTTTGTTTGCACTTAACCTAATATCTATTAGCAATATTTTTAATTTTTATATCACACATTAAGTTCTACTCATTCCTTTTCTTATTAGTTTTTCCAGGCAAAAATACTGTAGAGAATTTTAAGGCATTTTTTTTCAAAAGTTAAGTGGTTATGTTATATTTTTAGTATATAGAAAATACTGTATACCAAACCACCCCCACCCCCAAAGCACTGAATTATACATGAATAACAACTTCCTAAAACTTACTGTAAAAATTGTAAAGAGTTTTCCTGGGCATTTTGATTAATTCCATAACAAAGTATTTTTAAAAAGTAATTTATCCATGTTCTTTAAACTACCTGTTTTTTCAGGGTTCACAAATTTTCCCCTGACAATATCTAAAACATTAATCAAAGAGGCGCAGATCATGTCATTCTCTGCAAGAATGTTCAAACATCAAATTCCTCAAACAGTCCTACTTGGCTCTTCTTAAACTCTCATCTGGTTTAAACAGGCTCTTCTTGCTTTCGTCTGTTTTTAAATGCTTCATGACAGGTGTGGGTAACATCTAACCACTGAGCTATGTTGAGATTAAAAGCATGGCTAATAGCCAGTGATGATGGCAATTACAGTGCAGCAACATCTGGGGGAAATCACAAGTCCCCCCATCTTGCCTCAGCATTTAATTTTCTTCTCTTTTTTGGAAAGAAATAAAGATAAAGGTTCCCCTTGACAATTTGTCCAGTCGTGTCTGACTCTAGGGGGTGGGAAACATCTCTGTTTCCAACCCATAGAGCTAGCGTTTGTCCGTGGTCACGTGGCCAACGTGACAAGACACGGAATGCCGTTACCTTCCCACTGTGGTGCTACCTATCTACTTGCATTTTGCATGCTTTCGAACCGCTAGGTTGGCAGGAGCTGGGACAAGCGACGGGGGCTCATTCCGACGCGTGGATTTGATCTTACGACTGCAGGTCTTCTGACCTTGCAGCACAGAGGCTTCTGCGATTTAACCCACAGCACCACCACGTCCCTGAAAGAAATAACCTTTGTCAAATTCAGTGTTCTACAGTTATGCTGAAGAAATGCTGTTATTTTCCTCAGATGACTAGGATCAGCCTGTGGGATTTACATTTGTTGAAGCATGAAAGAAACGTCTTCCACTTTGTGCTGGTCTGACACTTTTCTAGAAGCAATATTCCAAGAACCCACACATAGATCAGATTCTGTCCAGCTTTTGTCCAGCTTGGAGATGGAAACAGTTATTTCATTGAATTATAACTGTCAGGATAACAACTTTGTTAGCATGGTAAAATGCTCCAAATACTTGGAGTCACCAAGTTTGAAAGTAGAAGAGAATAGATTGAGTGAACCTACCTTGGTCTGGAAGCAGCAGTACAGCTGGGTCAAGTAGGGATGTTTTCGTGCTAACGCCAAAATCCGTTTCTCAGTCATGGTGCAGTCCACATCATCATCTTGTAGGATAACATCCTTCTTCAAGACTTTCACTGCATATACTTCATCTTTACCTTTCAGTTCAGCAAGCATGACCTAGAGTTAAGGAGAAAGACTGTTCATGAACATTGAAATCCACACATATTTTACAAACATTATTAGAATTCATGGAGAATTTTTTTACATTCTTGCCATATTTAAAAGCAACTTTCCCCAAAAGATGCCTATTAAATCCACATGAATTCAGGAAGGTCTTGGATCCAGAGGGAGTTCCCAACAGCTACTAGAAATCCCATGTACTTGGAACATCAGAGGCAGCTCCATGTATGCAGTGGGAAGTGTTAGGTCTTTAAAAATATTGTAATTAGCAATTGGTTATGGATAGTACAGGTGGAATTAATTAGGTACTAAGTCACTGCCTAGGTGACTAGTAGAACACAGCCGTGATGGATAAGCTATCTTGACGCCAACCACTAATTTCATTTGTTGAGGGAAATACACCATATTTTTTGCACCATAAGACACACTTTTTCCCCACAAAACAGGGGGGTGGAAAGTCTGTGCGTCACTGCCTAGGTGACTAGTAGAACACAGCTGTGATGGATAAGCTATCTTGAAGCCAACCACTAATTTGATTTGTTGAGGGAAATATAAATTAAGGAACTAGCTAATATGTTCTTTGCAGTTCTTGTTTGACTGTCACGGTTAAGTTCTGTCCGGTCGACTCCTGTGAGCACTGTGTAAGTTTGTATAGCACATAAATATATTTCTCTGCATGCACTCCTGCTATCTGTGTGAGACTTACTGTACTGTGCTGGAGATTGTGCTCTCAAGGCTTCATAAGGAGAAAGCTTCTGTTTGACTCTTTTTCTCTGCATGCATTCCTGCTGTCTGTGTGAGACTTACTGTGCTGGAGATTGTGCTCTCAAGTCTTTGTAAGGAGAAAGCTAACAGGAAGAAACCTTCATGCATGCAGAAAATGTGTACATGAGTAAAGAATGTCTGGATCAGAGCTAACTGTGTTACATAGTACACTGTTAAATGATATGCTATCTAGTCAGAACTGACTTATAGTGAACTTAATAGTGCTTTCATACATGAGTAAAGAATGTCTGGATCAGAGCTGTGTTATGTAGTACACTGTTAAATTATATGCTATCAAGTCAGAACTGATAGTGAACTTAATAGTGCTTTCATAGTAAGTGAGATGTTTAAGACATAGTTTTACTGAAACAAATTCAGATTTTTCAAGGCTGGTCAGACATTCAAACCCAGGCCTCCAGAGTCCTAGTCCATCACTCTATCCACTATCCCATACAAATCATTCCTAGATTTGCAGGAACCTTGGCTTTGCGAGTAAGCTTTTTTTGCTGGATTTGTCTCTCTTCGGCTTTAGCTATTGACAGGCCTGGCAAAGTGGCCACTGCCTCTGCCACCAGATCTTGGGTTTCATGAGAGGATGGCAAATGGGCAACTGTTTAATTTGTTACTATTATCATTTAATTGCCAAAAATGGGGTAAGGTGCTGGACAGATTTTCTGCCACCAGTGCCAAAAATCACCAAATAGACCTTGGCCCTCCAGAAAAGAGGTGCCATTTGTTTTTGTTTGTTTTTTGGCTTCAGATAGCAAAATATTTGAGGCATTCTTGATCATAGACAGTCTTGGTTTGTTTCCATTCCAGATTGCAAACAATTGCCATGTGCATCACTAAGAAAATGATCATCAAACAGGTACTGTCATCATGGACTTGCAATGCATCGACATCTGAGCGAATGAGCTGTAAGGCTGCCACTTCCATCATCCTTAAAGTCAGCTCTGGAAATCCTCTTTATATCGGAGCAGCAGGAGGCAGAATAAACACACTATCAAATTCACATGACTTCTTGAGTCTGAACAGCTGGGAAGTTGAAAAAAAAATTATTTGACTTGCAAAACGAGGTGCTGTGAAGCAGAGCACCTTCAGGAAAAAGAAACATCAAGCTTCCCACAGAACATCTTCTGTAGTCAAGTACAGCAAAAGAACACACCAATTTGTTATGTGCTGTCAGCTTGCCTCCAACTTATGATGACCTTATGAACAAGTGACATCCAAAATGTCCTCTCCTCAACAGTCTGCTCAGCTCCTGCAGACTCTAGAGGTGCTGTGAAGCAGAGCACCTTCAGGAAAAAGAAACATCAAGCTTCCCACAGAACATCTTCTGTAGTCAAGTACAGCAAAAGAACACACCAATTTGTTATGTGCTGTCAGCTTGCCTCCAACTTATGATGACCTTATGAACAAGTGACATCCAAAATGTCCTCTCCTCAACAGTCTGCTCAGCTCCTGCAGACTCAAGACTGTGGTTTCCTTTATAGAGTCAATCTGTCTCACATTTTTGGCCTTCCTCTTTTCCTGCTGTCTTCAATTTTCCTACTATTATTGTCTTCTCCACCCATTTCAGTTCAGCATTTCAGACATAATTGATACTGATCATATATGGCCATGGTTCTTCCAGAGCCTAGAAATGTTACTTCGTTGGACTTCATCTGGATTCTGGAAGCTGTAGTACAAGTTCTGAATTCATTATGGTGCATGGATGCCCCCTTTTATTCTCAACTACTGTTTCCCCGCGTATAAGACCTAATCTGAAAATAAGTCCTAGTATGATTTTTCAGAATGCCCAAAAAATAAGCCATAGTTAAGTGAAACCCTGCCCTCCACCATTGTGCAGCAACCAGAAGATATGACCGTATTTGACTAAATGTAGTACATGAAACAAGTAAAACATTCCCTGACAATAAGCCCTAATGCGTTTTTTTTGGAACAAAAATTAATATAAGACCCTGTCTTATCTTTGGGGAAACACGGTGCATTCAGAGAACAACAAAGTGAAGCAAGACAACCTGAAGGATTCTCACGTGTGCAAAGAGGATGTCTGTACGTGAGCCATCATTAATGCCTACTGAAATGGAGAATCCTTTGAATTTGCCATGACCCTCCTTGCACAGCTATCACTGTCCACCTGAAAACCTTTGCAAAATAATTTGGTGTCTGTTTTGGTGGTGGTGTAGGGGACATGCTCTGCGTGGCAGACTTGGGAGGACAAAATTCTGCGAGTAGGTTTCCGCTCGCATTATCAAGAGGATCATTTCTTCCCCCTCTTCTGTGGGAAGAAATGGTGCCATCCCTTCCCTCACGACACCTAGAACTCCAGACAGAGGATCTTGTAGACCTGGCCAACAATTTTAAAACAAAGATTTAATACCTGAGAGAGAGAGGCTAAAAACACCACAGTGCGTAGTCTACTTTTTAAAGAGCTGCTTCATGACTAACCTAGCCGGAGAAGGTATCGTGAAAATGGCTACCCTTCAGCCATCTCCTCTTCTCCCTTCCTCCCCTGTCTTGTCTCTGCCGCTTCCATGCCTCGTCTGTCATTAAGCCTCCACAAATGAGGCTGGACTATATGTAGTACAATTAATCATAGCAATGTGTATATTTGTAGAGTTACTGGTATGGGTTGGGGAGGCAAGCGCTTGGAAGACATGGGGGGGCGGTTGAAGGTTTGTATGGTTTTGCGGTATTAAAGACCAATTAAAACTCCAAATAAATAAGGAGATGGATGGATACCACCCATAGAAACTGCAGCCCTGACAATGCACATGACTGTGGCTGTGAGGTGCATATTCAGGATCATTCACTTCTTTCCTTGTTCCTCTGAGTCGGTAGACATTGTAAAACACGGAGAACAAAACAAGCCAGGTGTTGGCAAAAGGCTACCCACCTTTCCAAAGCTACCTTTCCCTAACACTTTAATGAAGTTGAACTCTTCAAGGCCTAAGCGCTTCGTCTGGGCTTTCACCTCTCCGTTTTCGCCATTCTCCCCGGGAGTGTTCAGCTGGTTGTCAGTCGAGGTTGTCCCGGCTCCCCTGTGTTCTTCTCCTCGATTGTCAAATGATAACGCTTTCCTAATGTTATTTTCAAGCTCTTTGATTTCTATGAAAAGATTTAAAATAACAATAGGTAGGTAAGTAAATGCCATAGCTGTGTTCAAACCTTGGAAATGCTACTATTTTGGATTGCAGTTCCCAATCAGACATTTTGGACTATGAAACTGTCTTTCCCACGAGAATCATGTTCTGGGCAGAGACGGAGGTTCATGGAGGGACATGATGACACTGATTTTTAAAGATGAAAACACGGGGAGTCAAATCCTGAGTTTTAAGGATTAAGCACTCAGGTATTGGTCCTCAATGGACACATCTCCATTTGGGTTTCTTTCACATTAAAAATGAATGTGAAAGAAACCAAAATGAAACTAGCAGTGTTACGTGGTTCCTATGCAACAGTTCGGTGGAAAACCCAAATAATGCAACATTATTCAAATGCTTATGCAGCTAGAAAGTAGAAGTTGGTGGACCTTGATCACATGGGGACGTTGGTGCTGACTTTGACCTGTCGTCATCTCCTGGCGAGGATCCTGAAACTGGTGGTTGGGACTCTGCACCTGGAACGAGCTAAGTAGATAAAAGAGAAGTTTAGCCATTGCGAGATAGTCTTCTAATGTGACATTTATGAGAAAGCAAAGATGAGCGTTTCCGATAGCAAAGCTCAATCACAGACTGGCAGGCAGTCATCTTGACAAAGAAAGACATGACACTATGGTGTTGAAAACCTACATTTGTTTGTAAACAGAATGTTTCCAACACAATAAATAGTGCTTTGCTTGTCAAGTGCATGTTAAATGAAACTCCAGTTCAACCACATATGGGACCACTAAAAAAAAAACCACCCATGTATCTTTCAAAACAAACTTTCCCAGAGTTCCTGCACTGAATCTCGGTCTTGTCCGGATCAAAAGCTGTAATTCAGTGAAAACCATTCCAACACAAACTTGATTTAACACGAACAGAAGCTTTGGATTAGTAGAGTTCTGGTGCATTTAAGCCAGATTTTGAACATTAAAATATGAGAATACTTAACATCACAATGAGATTTGTGAAGGGTAGTTTTTAAATTTTTTATTTCTAAATAAATTTAGATTTGTGAATTTTGCATGACTAGGAGTAGGGTCTACAGCCACTTTCCCCAACTCAGGACTTTTTACACTACAACTCCCATCATTCCTAATAATTGACTATATGAGCTGGGGCTGATGGATTTTGTAGTATCTGAATGGTATCGAGTTGAGGAAGGGTGGGCTAAAGAGACATGATGGAAATCTAGCACTGATGCTAAGGAGGGCTGGTCTTATAAGTTATCCAGAAAAGGAAATCCGTCTTGGAACCATCCATTCTGCTCCAATGTATTGGGGAAGGGGGAGAGTAATAAAATCCATAAAATGACAAAAAACTGCAAGTAACTAGCAAAAATTCTATGCTAGGGATGGATAGGGATTTTGTTTCCATTTGTTGCTTCTGAAAAATTATCTCTTACAGCAGATTTTTAAATACTTGGGATAGAAAGTATTTTGGATTGAATAAATTTGAATGTGAAAGAAACCAAAATGGAGATTTATCCACTGAGAACCAATACCTGAGTGCTTAATCCTTAAAACTCAGGATTTGAATCCCTGTGTTTTCAACCATTAAAATGGTGAAATAAGATTTCAACCTTTCCCCCCCTCAGAAACAGTCATTTTTAATACCTATATAGCAGACAGGTGTCAAGGTTTGATACCTTGTCTGTTTAAGTGTATTAGAACCATTATGGGAGTTACAGAAAATTGCCCTAAAATTATAGTACTTTTTAAATTGTGGCACGAAAATGTGGTTTACTAGGAGCGTTTTAAAACAACAAACTGGTTCTCGCAGAACAAGGTTATTGAAAGTACGGCATTTCTTTGGCAACCACTTGTTTGTTTTACAAAAGAGCTGTAGGAGGCCATGGATGCAAATGCTTCACACACCTACCACGGTACTCCTGCTGTCGTTCATGGGACTGCAACCTGAACAGACATACGGTACACAGAAATGCACTGGAGACAGGTATAACTCTTGGGGTAACCATGACTATAGAAATATTTCGGTTCACGAGGAGCTTCATTTTTGTCCCAAAAATAAAGTCCCGAGAAGTGACTTTACAAGCATCTGCTGAATCCAAATTCTTTTTTCCAAGGAATGTTATTTCAGCCCAAGTTCCATTTGTCATCGTGGTGACATCACGGAGAACAGAGAGGAACATCTGGCAAGCAAAGATCTTGTGCCAGTTTTGCAGCTAGATAAGAATATTTACGTTTACATGTGTTCCCACAAGAAGACATCAAAGTCGTGGCTTTGATGTTTACATGGCACTTTGACAAGAACAGATTCCTTCTGACAACTGAAAAATAATAAAACCTTTTATGATTCTGTTAAGACTGAGGTCAAGTCAGTTGAAGGACCAAGAGGCATGTTAGGCTTAAGGCCTAGGATGCAGCTTTCCTTTCGCTCTTTTAGAAAAGGAATTACTAGCGGGGTGAGATTTATGGGGAGACTGCACTGCACAGGGATGAGGCGTTTGTCCCTCTCCTCTGTTGCTGCTCCACAGTCCCAAAATGAAGTCTCCCAGATGGCTAGGTACATTTTTAAAATGTTGCAATGAACACCAACTGGATTTTATGTAAATTGATATTTCTCTCTACTAGTTGAAAAGGATTTTTGGATGCACATGGACAGTGATAGGAAAATCTTCCTCTTCCCGCAGTGCTAGCCCCCCTCAAGTACCCCCGGCCCTATAATCACGAAGAGAAAATCAGAAGGTGAACGTGCATGCTTCACATTAAATGTAGCATGTCCCTTGTCTGTAATGACTGTAGAGCTTATTCCTGCTTTTTAGTTATGTTCTCCATCTTGCATAATTTAAAGTGGTGATGACACCATCATTGCAACCCGTTATTTTAGTTTCTGTCATCTTGTGCTCCCTAAATGAATGCAGGTAAATGAGGGGGTACCTAACCAGCAGTGCATTAAACATGAAGGGTAAAGGGCCACAACAGCATTAGACACCGCAAAATCTCTCTTTGGGACCATAACGCCTAGAAACTCCCCAGTGGTCATGGTACCCAATGAATACTACGAGCTATGGACCAAAAAAGAGTAGTTGCAGGTAAATGAGGGGGTACCTAACCAGCCGTGCATTAAACATGAAGGGTAAATCTCTTTGGGACCATAACCTCTAGGGACATGGTGGCGCTGCGGGCTAAACCGCAGAAGCCTGTGCTGCAGGGTCAGAAGACCAAGCAGTCATAAGATTGAATCCACGTGATGGAGTGAGCGCCCGTCGCTTGTCCCAGCTCCCGCCAACCTAGCGGTTCGAAAGCATGCAAATGCAAGTAGATAAATAGGGACCACCTCGGTGGGAAGGTAAACAGCGTTCCGTGTCTAAATCACACTGGCCATGTGACCACGGAAAGATTGTCTTTGGACAAAACGCTGGCTCTATGGCTTGGAAACGGGGATGAGCACTGCCCCCTAGAGTCGAACACGACTGGACAAATATTGTCAAGGGGAACCTGAACCTTTACCTAACCCCTAGAAACTCCCCGGTGGTCATGGTACCCAATGAATACTATGAGCTATGGACCAAAAAAGAGTAGCTTTGCCAAACTCTGATTGAATCCAAGCAGATGCACTCTGCAAGTACAGTAGGAAAGTCCAGCTTGAGTCTCTAAGAGGATCTTCCTAGAAAGGTGCATGGTAAGTGGCATTTGTGGTTAAGTGGTTTTAGATGAAACTGCCCAGAATTCCCTTGGTGGTCACTTGAGCTGCCAAGCTGAGAAGGGCACCAAGCTGAGCTAAGCAGAGTTCAGGAGTGTTTACTTTTTCTTTTTTTGCACAGTGAACAAGGGCGGCAAAGGGCAAGTATCTACAAGACTTACTTCAAAGTTCTATTGGTTCTTTGACGTTCTACTAACTACGAAAACAATCCCCTCCCAATTAACTTTAAAGTAAGCTTGTGTTTCAATTTCCAGCTTGAGGTCATTTGCACCAATTTCAAAAATCAATGGAAACCTGATTTGTGCCTATATGCATGGTCTCTAAGAGGATCTTCCTAGAAAGGTGCATGGTAAGTGGCATTTGTGGTTAAGTGGTTTTAGATGAAACTGCCCAGAATTCCCTTGGTGGTCACTTGAGCTGCCAAGCTGAGAAGGGCACCAAGCTGAGCTAAGCAGAGTTCAGGAGTGTTTACTTTTTCTTTTTTTGCACAGTGAACAAGGGCGGCAAAGGGCAAGTATCTACAAGACTTACTTCAAAGTTCTATTGGTTCTTTGACGTTCTACTAACTACGAAAACAATCCCCTCCCAATTAACTTTAAAGTAAGCTTGTGTTTCAATTTCCAGCTTGAGGTCATTTGCACCAATTTCAAAAATCAATGGAAACCTGATTTGTGCCTATATGCATGGGTCCTTGTAGTTGGACCTTCAACATCACAACTGACCCAGATGTCCTCTGTAGATTTAGCTCTGCAAAGCTGACCACCAGTAGTAGCAACGAAATGTGA